AAACCAGATTTTTCACTTCCTCCCCCCTCCACCACACACACACACACACACACACATATCATGCCCAACACCTTTTCTTTTAGTTAAAAGATTAAACCCAAACAGGATTTTCTATTTCCAAAGTAAACACGCACTGTCCGCAACTCCAACAAGAAGCTCAAACCTCACTACTGTGACCCCAGTGACCCCCACTACTGTGTTTCTTGTTGTGCTTAAAATGGCACAGTTTCAGTCTTTTTTTTTTATTTATGTTTTCACTATGTTTTTGGGCGTAATAAATTACATTTTGTCTTAAACTCTAAAATAAAAAATAAATTTTAAGAATTAAATCCTAAACTCTAAACCTTAAAATAAAAAAATAAAAAAGAATTAAACCCTAAAATAAAAAACTAAATTAAATAAATTTTTAGAATTAAACCCTAAACCCTAAAATAAAAAAATAAATAAATTTTAGGACAAATTACAGAAATGGTCCCTATAGTTTACCCTTGGTTTCATTTTGATCCCTGCACTTCTAATTGTTTCAATTTTGCCCTTGCAATTTGGTTTTTGCATCGAACTGATCCAATAGTTAACCGCCGTTGCGATTTTCGACAGAAACCCATTTCCCCTAAGGGCAAGGTTGTCATTTCGACACCCACATACCTATTTTCTAGCCCGAATATGCAACCCACATGATCTGTGTAAACAAATAAGGGATTAGGGTTAGAAAAGGGGTTAAAAAAGGGAATACAACAAATTGGTGAGAGGTGAGGCTTGAATTCAGAGGTGTCTGAAGGAAATTTGATATTTAAATCAAATCCATTAAAGCAAGAAAGCAGCAAGCCAAGTCGATGGCTTTGAGAGATGCTTCATCTGGGAGCCCTCAATATGGTATTTGACTTTTCTGACAAACATTTGTTTGTTTATGTATATTGCCGTCTTCATTTTGGTCCCTCTACTTCATAGTAGTTAAAAGGTGATTTATGTATACATATAGGTTATTTGTATTTCGATTCACGTTTGTTTGTTTGTTTGTTTGTTTTTTCTTCTTGTTGGACTAATCTAAGATGCACCTTTCTATATGTTGGATTCTTTGTTTTGTTCCCTCTTTTGTTGACATTGGTTCCCACACGAATAGACATGCACATGGGGAAAAGTAATCAATCCCTGACAAATTTTGATTAATTTATTTATTTTATTTAATCTCACAGATCCTGATAGTGATTACTTCACTTTAAAAATGCATCATGGGGGAACATTTGTATGTAATCCAAATAGGTTGTATATGGGGGAGAGGGGGGGGAAACATACTTTGACTACTACAAAGCTGATTACATGAGTATGTTATACATAGAGGATTTGGTGGAGAAATTGGATTGTACTAGAAGCATGTTATATTACTACAGACTGTCTGATAAAGATTTTACTAGTGGGTTAGTCAATTTAAAGAATGACAATGAGTTGATGGGTATGCTAAAATTCTTGAATAGAAGTAAGCACATTGATTTCTATTTGGAACAGTATCCTATAACACAACCTAGTTCAATACTGATTGATGACATTGATGAGTTGTTTAGAGGTGAAGATGTGTTTCATAGGTATATGGATGTAGTAAAAGCTCAGTTCCAAAAGCATGGTGGTGGAGAAGCTGAGTTAGAGCAAGGTAAGGGTTTAGCAGAAGTTGATGATTTGTTTGATAGTGGATATAATGAAGGTTCTCAGACAGAGTCCACAGATTTGGAGGAATATGAGGATAGTGAAATTGATGAAAGTGAAGATGACATGCTATTTGAAACTCATGTGGATATGAATGTGGAATGGGTGGTTTAATGAGAAATAATGTCAATGATGAAGCAGGTACTCATGAAGCACAAGTTGAAGAGAGGTGGGAGGATGAGTCAGCTTCAGATGAGCTGAGAAGCATTGATTCATCAACTGAATATGAGGATAATGGGAAGAAGAAAGAAAAATACCCTTAATTTAATATGCATACAGATATGGTTGAGCCCCAATTCAAAGTTGGGATGTTGTTTAGGACTTCCCAAATCTTTAAAGATGCTGTCAGACAACATGCTATAAAGACTGGAAAAGCAATCAAGTTGGTCAAAAATAACAGCCTTACGGTGAGAGCCAGCTGTAAGCCTCCATGCAAGTAGGTCTTGTTTGCATCTAAAGTTCAAGGGGAAAATAGTTTTCAAATAAAAACCTACCACCCCACACACAATTGTGGCAGAGTTTTCCACAATAGACAAGTCAATTCCACTTGGTTGTCCAAATAGTACATGGAGACACTTAAAACCAACCCTACATGGCCCTTGTCTGCTTTCCAAAAACCTGTGCAGATGGACCACAAAGTTGGGGTGTCAAAGGGTCAAGTTTATAGGGCCAAGAGGAAAGCACAAGAGTTGATTAAGGGCAGCCATGAGGAACAATATGCAAAGCTGTGAGATTATTATGAAGAAATTAGAAGATCAAATCTTGAATCAACCATTATTATGCAGGTTCATGAGATTCAGCCATAGGATGAGGATGAGAATGATGTTGGGAAGTCAAGATTTGAAAGGATTTATATATGTTTGAGGGCTTCTAAGAAAGGCTTCATTGCAGGATGTAGGCCATATATTGGAGTGGATGCTTGCCATTTGAGAGGTCCTTACAAAGGCCAGTTGCTTCAATCTGTGGCCATTGAAGGTAACAATAACATTTTTCCAGTGGCTTTTGTTGTAGTGGAAAAGGAAACAAAATCCTCATGGAAGTGGTTCCTGGAGATACTACAAGAAGATTTAAGGATAGGCAACCACAAAGGGTTCACAGTCATGTCTAATAAACAAAAGGTAAAGGTTTTGGTATTCTTTCACTTTAATTTAATTAGTCTTTTGTGGATAACCTATATTACTTGCTTTTGGCTTGGCTTTTAATTGTTATTGTCTTGGTTTTTGTTTTTGTTTTTGTTTTTTTGTTTTTGTTCATTTATGTTTGTTATAGGGACTGATTCCAGCAATTGCAGAGGTGTTTCCATATGCTGAGCACAGATTCTGTATTAGGCATTTCTACAACAACTTCAAAGACAACTTCAAGGGCATTCATTTAAAAGAAATTTTGTTTTGTGCAACCAAAGCCACATATGTGCAAAGGTTTCAATATCATATAGAAGAGATGAAGAAGACAGATGAAGATGCTTTCACATGGTTGGTAGACAAAGCACTTTGCTTCTGGAGCAGGTCCTATTTCACAACATACAACAACTGTGATGAGTTAGACAATAACATGTGTGAGAGCTTCAACAGTTTGATTCTAGATGCAAGAGGAAAGACTATTTTGCCACTGCTTAAGGATATTAGATGCATTTTGATGAAGAGGATGCAAATAAGGAGAGAAAAAATGAGGGCATATGAGGGTCCTATATGTCCTAACATCCAAAAAAGACTAGAGAAGAGGAAATTGGATGCATACAATTGCATTGCAATTTGGGCAGGGGAACAAAAGTACCAAATGCTTCAATGGACAACAATTTGTGGTTGATCTAGAAGATAGCACTTGTCATGTAGAAAATGGGAGTTAACTGGTATCCCATGTTGTCATGCAATAGCAGCCATTTATGATAAACATGAGAACCCTGAAAAATATATGGCACACTAGTTCAAGAAAGAGACTTATATGGCCTTTTGTGAGCCACTAATCTACCCTATCAATGGATCTGAAATGTGGCCTAAGTCAGTGTTAGATGCACCATTGCCCCCTAGAGTCAAAAAATAACCAGGGAGGCCAAAGAAATTGAGGAGGAAAGATACAGATGAACCCAAAAACCCCTACAAGTTGAAGAGAAAACACACTATAACCACATGTGCCACATCTGGTCATCTTGGACATAATAAAAGAAGTTGCAAAGGTCAACCAGTTGAAGACAATACTATAAAGGCAAACTCACCTGTAAGTAAAGTTATTGTTAATTTATTTGACTCTTACATTGCAATTTGTATGAGGCATTGATTTATTAATTACATTACATTTCACCATGTCTGAAGGTAAGACCAATGGATACAAAGCCAAACATGGCAAGGAGAAGTAAAACAAAGGTTGCTGCTGCAGGAGGTAGTGGCAGTCAACCAAGCATGGGCACCAAGGCAAATACAGCAAATATAATACCTATTGGCAGTCAACCAAGCATAGGCACCAAGGCAAAGACAGCAGCTGCAAAACCTAGTACCACTCAACCAAGCATGGCCACCAGGGCAAAGACAACAGCTGAAAGACCTAGTGCCAGTCAACGAAGCATAGCCACCAGGGCAAGGGCAACAGCTGCAAAAGGTATTAGCAGTCAACTAAGCATGGCCAAAAAGGCAAAGGCAGCACTTGTAAGAGCCAGTGAAAGTCAACCAACCATGGCCAAAACGGCAAAGTCAAGGCCAAACATTGAACCATGAATGCCTACCTTGGCAAGGTCAACACCACCACCTGGATTTACTTGCATTTCCACAACTCAGTCATCAACATCTGCACCTACAAACTCATTCATGTTTAGGGGGAGAAGATTTGTGTCCTTGTCTCCACAGAAACAAGCTGCAACTAGTGCAACCAACAATAAGACTGCAAATTAGTGGCAGTCAAGGACAAAGCCCAATTGTCTTTTGTACATGAACTGCTATGATGTACTATTTTCTCTAGGGTTGACAATGTTGATCAATTTTTTGTAGTTACACTTTTTGACTAGATGTGCTCATCATTTTGCTGGTTTGTAATCACTTTTGTTGATCAACTATTGTATTTAGTTTGTCTTTTGTTGGTGAACAATGTGATTGCCTTTTGTTGTTTAATGAATGAATATTGACCAAGTGTCTTTGTTTTATTCTTATTGCCGTTTGGGATTGTATAGTTCTGTTTGTTGGAAATGCCAGTCAATATTACCAAATCACAACACATTATACATTTGTATGTTATCCAATTGCAGTCTAACATTGATCACAAAGCTCACAAAATTCAATACATAATCTTCAAATGGCATTGCAATACACAAAAATACAAAACCCATTTCATTTCAGCTATTCAGACAACATTACAGATGGTTATCATTGCATATGCTATTCTAGCATTGTTTACAAAACTAACACAATCCAAATTCAAAACATTAAAACATGAAACACCTACATCTACAATTCTTATTCCCATTATGTCGAATCATTGTCATTGTTGCTACCAGCAATTTCTCCATCTTGCTCTGTTGTGAGGTAGCACCACAAGAAAAATATCCATAACATCACTACAAAGATCAGCAGCTTCCTTTCTCTTCCTCTATGCAATCGGACCTGGTCTTCAATGACCACAATTCTTCTAAGTAATCCATTAATCACCTCTTGAACTCGAGTACCAGCAGGAGGATCAACCCACATGAAGAACCCACAAGCACCCTTACTCTGCATTTATCAAACAAAAAAAAAAGGCAAATTACAGAATGACTCAACAAAGGATAAATATATATATATATATATATTCACTTACTCCATATCTGCATTTATTAAATCAAAAAAAAAAAAATCAAAATAGCATGATTGAACACAAGAAAAAGATACACACACACACACACACACACATATATATATATATATATTAACTTACTCCATAACGGGGACAACCCAGAAACCTTCTTGAGGGATTATTCTTAGTCCAAGATGTGCATACTCGAGCCCTCAACCCACATTGGCAACAGATTGATTCCATTTTATTTCTCTCATCTTCTTCGTCTTGCTCTCAACGTACATACGTAATATATTACGTATATATATCTATATATCAGTTGCAGAATTAGGGAAAATGGGTATGGGGGTGTTGAAATTACAACCTTGCCCTTGGGAGAAATGGGTTTCCGTCGAAAATCCCAACGGCGGTTAACTATTGGACCAGTTCGATCCAAAAACCAAACTGCATGGGCAAAATTGAAACAATTAGAAGTGCAAGGACCAAAATGAAACTAAGGGTAAACTATAGGGACCATTTCTGTAATTTGTCCTAAATTTTAAGATTTAAACCCTAAACCCTAAATCTTAAACCTTAAACCCTAAAATAAAATAAAAAATAAATTTTAAGAATTAAACCTTAAACCCTAAACCCTAAAATAAAAAAATAAATTAAATAAATTTTAAGAATTAAACCTTAAACCCTAAACCTTAAAATAAAAAAAATAAATTTTAAGAATTAAACCCTAAACCCTAAAATAAAATAAAATAAAAAATTTAAGAATTGAATAAAAAAAAGTGTAATTTATCACGCCAAAAAACATAGTGAGAACATGAAAAAAAAAAGTAGAAGAAGAAGAAGAATAGAAGAGAGAGAGAGAAAAAGAAAAGGCTAAAACTGTGCCATTTTAAGCATAGCAAAGGATACAGCAGTGGGGGTCACAGTAGTCCCCGTTTTCAACCCATGTTAGATATTATAATCAAAAACATTTTTCTCAAATTAGAACCACACACATATACATTGTTAAATATATCAAAAAGTCTGGTAACCTAAACTTACTGACCCAGATTTTTCTGGGTTAGTGTTTGTGTGCTGAAAATTATGTTTGTGTAGTATGGGATTTATATATAGAATAAATCTAAATCACAAAATAATAATTTTTGATAATTTCTAGGTAATTAATTTTGAATTATTATTATTATTATTATTATTATTATTATATTGGTATAATTAAAATTATGAACCAATTCTTTCTTTGGCTGCATTATCTACCAAACAAGGCACTAAGATCCATACGTCCATATGTATCAGTACATATATACATTTTTTTTTTTATCAACAAAAAATAAATTTTATTGATGAACCAAAAGAGTATTACATCAATAAAGAAAGCGATGAATGCAAAAAGCATCAAAATGAAACAAACCAATCCCAACTAGGTTGACACCGATAAGTCCGCCCTATCCTCTACTAGCACACCATCAAAAGTTGGTAAGTAACCAACCGCAATACATATATACATATATCCTGTAACCATAGTAAAAATTAAAGGAAAATGAGAAGAAAGAGCTATGAAATATAGGTACTCCAAAAATGTTACCGCACGCGTACCGGCTACTTACGGGGTGCGGGTGCGCATACTAGTACGACTGCACGCATATCAGGTATGACAAATATGAATCGAGCATGTTTTATACAGTCTGTAAAATCCCGGTACACGATGGGTACATTTTTGGGTACGCCAAGGTAAAAACAGAATTTTCTGCAATTTTAAGGATACCGGAGCAATTGTTTTGGTCCATTTAAAAAAATTAAAAAAAAAGATTGGGGTTCTTTTGTAATAACTAAAACATGAAACAAATGAAATTAGGGTTACTTGTTCTATTCGATACCTACAGTCGGCTCAAGAAGAGAGAAAACGATCGACTCCAAGAAGGTGCTGATTCTCTCCTTTGAAGAACACAATCTAGTGAGTTTTTCTTCGATTCTTCCTCCTCTTCTTCTTCGATTCTTCTTCCTCTTTCTTTCATTTTTTTAAGATTTTTTTTGTCTTTCTTCGCAACAAACGAACAATCGATCCTCTGTTTTTTTGGTTTATTTTTCTTCGATTCTTCTTCCTCTTTCTTTCATTTTTTTTTTCTTACTTAGCAAAAAACGAATCTGTCCTTTTTTTTCCCTTTTTTTTATTCGATTCTCCCCTTTGATTTTCTCTTTGTTTGATTCGATTCTTCTTCCTCTTTCTTGAACTCTCCTTCATTTTCTTTCCCTGATGTATGTATATTTTTTTTTTATGCAACTTGCAAGTCTAGAATGACCCACAGCACTAGAAGTGAAAAAATTGTTATTTAAATTGTTAGAATGACCCACTATACTAGAATAACCCACAGCCACTGGAATTTCAGCAACTTGCAAGTCTTTTTCTCATGCAACTTGCATGTCTAAAATTGTTATTTAAATATTTGAAAAATTATATTCTCCAATGAAGTGAAAAAATTCACAAATTATTTTGTTAAATGGTTATATAATTTATGTTGTAAGAATATGAGTTCATCAAGAAGTATAGGTTCAAATGCAAGTGCCTCTGCAAGTGTTCTCTTTGGGGTTAGTTTGTTTTTAGCATGAAATTCTCTTTTCTATTTTTTTTTTTTAATGACATTAAAATAGCTCATTGATTTACTTTAGTATTGGTATTGTTAAAAAATGATTTACTTCTTCTTCTTTTCTTTTTTTTTTTTTGTAATTTCTCCTTTTAATTATGTTATTAAATTTTAATTTATATACTGGATCTTTAGCTCTAATATCGCAGTCGCACCCGTATCATATTTTTTTAAAAAAAGAATTACCATATTGAGGTTCCCGTCTCGTACCGCACCCGCACTTCTTAGGGAGGAGATAATGGGTAGTGACAACATAGAGGTAAGGAAAGGGTATAGTGGGTTGGCTACTTGAATACAGTAATGAGAGGCAAAAAGAAAAGAGAAAAGAGGAAGAGAAAAAAAAAAGTTTTGGGGCAAAAAGAAAGAAAAAAAAAAGGGCAAAAAAGTCATTTTATTAATCTATTTTGAGGCTAATGTATGCCTCACGTGCTTAATTCAATGCGTGTTACACATGCACAATTATTTCTAGACTATAAGGAAGTAATGTGTTTTTGGATCAAACCAAAGAGAGGTAAAATGTAATTAACCCATAATTGTAATATAGTTTTCATATATTTTTATACATCTTGTACATATTTTATAATACACTTTTTTTAAATATATTTTTCAACACTAACAATGACATCCCTAAAAATTATTTTTAGCCTTCTTTAAATTTAAAAAAAAAAAAAATAGTTAGAATGTTTGGTTGGAAATTCCAACGTGATGGGTTGGTTAATCATATAATATCAAAAGTTAACTAGACCTAATCCTAATGAATGTGAAGTTTATAAATGTGTGGCTTGAGTCATCAATGCTTAATGAGATAAAACATGATTGAGTTGCTTAATTAGTGTAAGAACCACAAGTTGCTTAATTTCATCTAAAATCACAAGATAAACAACCCGTCACAATTTGGTTTACTTACACTTTTTAAAGGGGTACACAAACGCTTCCCATTGTATGACCAAATTTTCCCAATGATTGATTTGTACATCTAGGGTTTTGTTATCATTTCTCTCCAATACATGGAGTGAGTTAGAATGCTCATTGTAAGTGCTTCTCTTCCTGCAGTTTAAAATTTAGGTTGTTCGGTTGGAATGAGATTCCATTCATTCAAGTTTGTTTGAGGTGTCCTAAATAAGTGTACTTTTTATCTTTTTGAACTAAAAAATTAAGAAAAAAAATATAGATGTTTGAGTTAACTTTTTGACTTTTTATAGAAAAATGTGTATTAAAAAATTGTATAAATTAGTGTGTAGGGGTGTGTAGGGGGAAATTAGGAATGAGAGTTGTGCAGCCGTAATTTTTGACTTTTGGTGAATAGTGATAACTTTTTAACTTTTTGAATAACTTTTTGACTTTTCGATTTTTTTCAATTTACCAAACTTGGCCTTAGTCTGGGCTTAACCTCTAACTTAAATTGATTTGCCTAATCACAATACAAGTAATGGCGGTATGTAGTTTATTTAAAAAATAAAAAATAAAAAAATAAAATAAAAATTAATAGCAAATGTGAGATTTATCTTTAAAAATTAAAAATTAAAGAATCTAAATATTTAAATTGCATACAAATGTTGAACACATCTTTCATACTCCTATCCTTGTCACATGTGATGAACACGCATACTTTAGAAAAAATAAAAAAAGTTCATGTAATACAAATTACAAACAGAAAAGCTTTTATAACACATACCACCACCACTATCCTACCACCACCATTGCTACGGGTTCTACTACTGCCACCGCCATCTTATCACAATCATCGTCACCACCACCATACCTACTATTGTTGCCATTGTTGTGACTACCTACCATATAGGCCAACACCATCATCACCACTAATATATAAATTATAAAATCACAATCAAATGTAATAGTTACTTTTTATCTAAAAAAACATAGCCCTAAATGTCAATTTTACTAGTGTTATATGTCTAGTTAACCTAATGCATTCCTACAAAAGATCTGAATTAATTGGAATGGTGACTCAGCTGAGGATAGACCAATGCTGAAGTGACTGACCAGTAAAAAGACTTAGTTAATGGGCAATATTGTGGCCATGGCCATTTTCAAATGTACAAAAACTTCCTAAGTGTGGCTTTTTTTGGGTCCTCCTGTGATGAGAGGCATTTCTCTAGTGGTAGGCAGTCCTTTCACTACCTAAGAGATAAAAATAAAATAAAATATTATAAAAAAAAATTGAGATTATATGACTACCCAATTATAATTACATAATAGAACATCTTCAACAGTGTTTTCATAATCGTGTCAATAGCACAAAAAATAAATTGTAATAATGTGCTATCTATTGTGATAAATTTAACATGATACTCTCAATCGTGGCCCTGTTTGGTAGAATTGTGGAAAAGTACTTATACCTATGCCTTAACAGCTTATAACTTATAACTATGAACATAAGTTGATTTCTGACTTATAAATTAAGCATCTCCTGTTTCACTCAAAGAATAAGCTGATTTCTGACTTACAAAAAGCTATAAGCTGCATTATTAAGCTAAACCAAACACATCAAAATAGCTTAAATTAAGCTGAAAGCTGAAATAAGCAGCTTTTAAACTGCACCAAATACGCACCGTGTCATACATGGCATGATTTGAGAAAAATGTCAAATTTCACTATATTATCTCATAAAAGTGCCACTTCAGTTAAGTTAATGTGAAATTTGTAAGTTTGATATCATACAATGTTGACAAGTGTACTATGAAGTTACATTATACTAAATAGTTTACTAGAATATCTGAAGTAATTTTTACTTTCATATATTTTTTAATTATCAGTCAATTATTTTTTTCTAATTATCAATTACTTTTTTTTTTTTTACCCGTCACAAGGTCTTAAAAATAAATTTAGAAAGTGGACTTCTATATCATTTTTCAATTGTATTTTATTTAGGATTTTGTGAAGATGAGAAGCTTAAACATATTATACATTATGCATAAAGGTACATATAATAAAAAATATACAATCTTTTAAAACATTTTTAGTTAACAAGACCATTTTAATTTTTATTAATTATTGACATAAATATATATATATATATATATATATAGATGTACATGATTGTATATACTGATCATAAAAAAATAACAGAAATTACAAATACACCTCTTGAGATTTGCTTAAAATATATATTGTTTCTGGATCTGAAAAATTAAATCCCTCCCCTTAAAATTTCTAATGTCATAATAAATGCCCTTTTATTAATATATTATCAAGTCAATTAACAGTTTTTAATGATGTCAGAAATTTATTTCAATTAATAATTCAAATATTTTTATTATTGTTTAGAAGAACAACTAAAAATTTTATTTTTTCAATTAATTCAGTTTAATAAAAAATTATGAAAATGATGTATTTGTAATTTACCCTAAAAAATATCGACCAGATCTTCACATGAGGCCTCAAGTTTTCGTTTTGATCATTTTCAAAAGGTCCTATTGAAAAAAAAAGAAAAAAAAAAGAAGGTGAAATTCTATTTACACATCACTAATCCTCTCAGTACACACCATTAACAGATTAAATTTATATTCCAATAATATCCTCAAATGAAAAGACCATTAGAGACAATATGGGAGTGTATTCTATCCATTCAAATATTTCGGATATAAAAACAAAAAACACTCTTCACACACCATTATCACATAGAGACATAAACATCCAAAATAAAATATCCAAAATAAATTAGTTTTGAAGATTTAGGATTTAAAAATATTGAAATTAATTGGTTTTAGGATTTAAGAATATTAAAATCAATTGATTTTGAAGATTTGTACACCGTCAAATGATACTAAGATTGTTCATGTAGAACAATGTAACAATGAAAATGTCAATTTAATACTTAGGGCCTGTTTGGTAACGTTTACGTTTTCAATTTATATTTACAAAAATTTTATAAACTGGTTTTTGTTTATTTTTAGAAAAACATAAACTACAAACGCGTTTGGTTTAGACAAAATGTTTAAAAAAATTTAAAAATATAAAAAGGAGTGAGAAATGGCAAGTGGTGGTGGGTGGAGACGAGTGGTGGTGGCGAAAGACAGTGGTGGAAAATGATGGCGGGTGGTGGTGGCGGAAGACGGTGGTGGAAAATGGTAGCAAGTGGGTGGTGGTGGTGGTAATGGGTGGGTGGGTGACGGTGGCGGGTAGTGGGTGGTGGTGGCAGGTAGGTGGCGGATGGCGGGTGGTGGCAGGTGGTGGTGGTGGCAGGTAGGTGGCAGATGGCGGGTGGTGGCAGATGGAGTGGTGGCAAGTAAGTGGCGCGTGGTGGTGGCAGACAGTGAATGGTAGTGGCAGGTGGCGGGTGGATGAAATGTGGGTGGTGGTGGTGGTAGCGGCAAGAGGTGGGTGGTGGTGGCAGGTGGGTGGTGGGTGGTGGCTGTTGGTGGCGGGTCGTGGCTGGTGGTAGCAGGTGGGTGGTAAGTGGTGGTGGCAGGTTGTGGTGGAGGGTGGGTGGTGGGTGGTGATAGCGGAAGACGGTGGTGGAAAATAGTGACGGGTGGTGGCTAGTGTTGGATGGTAAAAAAAAAAAACTGAAAACTGAAAACTGAAAACGGAAACACATTTTTTGAGTTTACATTTTTTGGCCAAATTTATAAATTGAGACCACTGATTTATAAATCAAAAATTTACCAAACAAGTTTTTATTTGAATTTTTAAAATTTTTGTAAATATAAACTGAAAACGTAAGTGTTACCAAACGGCACCTTAGCTTTTTTATTTATTCTTTATCTTGTTTGTGTAATCATTAGGAAGATAACTTCATTGGTCACATGTTCGGATAACCAGAGTTGAACTTTTACACAATGTTCGACTATTTTTATTTGAATAAAACAATTTTATTCAAATTATTAAGGTTGACCAACTTATAAATGTTCATAAATAAAAAATTGAACATTTTAATTCCTTAAGAATTTTATTTTTTAAATTTAATTCAATTCAATAATTTAAAAAAAAGAAGCAAACAACATATAAAATTTAATATATGTTCAACATTCAACATAATAAGTTTGAACGGGTTGAAATTGTTTAGCATATGAAGTATGAACGTATTTATTTTG